TGATAAAAACATAAATTTAAACTTTGTCGCTGAGAATGGAAAATGTTTAGAATCTGAGGAACAAGATTTTCCAAAATTAAATATTTTTTTAATTATATAAATTTTAAGCAGTGTGTTTTCAGAATTGTGCAATATGCATTTATTTCTTTATTATTAAATACTTCTTCAGACCAATAACAGAAATATACAGATTTTCCTGAAACATGTTTTAATCTGTCAAAATAACTTTAAAAATTTGGTTTCCGTTCTTTACACACAAACATTATAAAATTTGCTTTCACGGTTTAATGTATTTAAGCTTTCGATTGCTCAACAAACGCCCACGCGACTGTCTTTCTTTGTGTTTCTCGTGTTCACAATGTCTGTTCCTGTATGATTAAATCTATATAATAACAGGACCAAGTAATTCTAAATTTTACAGATTATTATTAATTAGGAGTATGATATACGGCTTTACGAATTGGGAATATTATTTTGCCTTTACGAATTAGGAATATTATTTGGCCTTTACGACGAAAACGGTTAAAAAATAATCGACGTAACCTCTACATTGATATACATATTGCACAATTTTCCAAAAATCTAGTTTAAATTTATATCTGATTATCCACATAACACAATCGCATGATTAATTCTATTAAATTTAAATCTCTTTTATAGAATATTTCACATTTAGTACATCTGTATAACAGATTTTATTAAATGTAAGGCAACTTTCTTATGTAAAAGCTAAATAATGTTAATTTATTTTAAAAGTTATATAAACTTGCGGTGATATTTATGATATGATACTAAATAATTTGCTATAAATTTTGGAAAAATAAGAAAATAAACATACAGTTTCCAGAAATATTTATTTTTTTCTGGAAACATGTTTAACTTTTTCCAGGATAATTTTTTTCGAACACCATAACAATGCCAGTTGCAATAGATTTTCGTATTAATATTTTTTTTATGAAATAATTACAGTTGCCCATTTATTCTCACTTCCTGTTACCTGAGGTAATCCACATTACCTTAAATGGTCGAATTCCACACGATGTAACGAAAACCTAATTAAACAAAACTTAATTAAAAGACTTAATTACTGCAAACCTACATAAAATATTTATCAGGACAGAAAATAACACATATTAATTCATTCAGGTTTAAATAACACTGTCTTTCATGTTATTTTTTCCCGTGCAGTTCCCTTCTACGTTATTTATCCTAGCTGAGTACTTCTTTCTTTTTTTTAACTCGTAAAACCATGGGAGATATATTTACTTAATTTTATCTCAAATAATAAGATTAGACTTTTAATGGCTTTTCTTGTAACTTACTTTGATATATCAAATTTATATACGCGAGTACATCTTATATGCAAGCCCCTTTGGTCTTTCTGAAACATTTTTAAAAGACAAAACTTGCTTATATATGACACCATTATGTTTTGAGAAAATACGGTATTTTATTACGTATCTCTGCATATTTAAAAGGAAGAAAATTTGAAAACTGAGTAAGAGATTTGCTTTTAAATCCTTAGTCCTTTCAATTTTGATCAATACTGATATATAACATAATTTTAAAAATAATTTATTATATGACAATAATGTAAATTTAACGTTAAAAATCTTAACACAGTTTTTATTTGTTAAATATAAAATGGTATAGTGTGTGTGGGTATTTAATTATGGCAAAGCACACTAGGGCTATCTGCCTAAGGGGAGGGATGCCTTCGTGGAGGACTTTCTAAGGGAAACTGGCTCGTATACATGGGGAAAACCACGAAAACGCCCATGCAGCCAGCCCGTTCGCGGGATTCGAACCTCGGACCGAACTACCAGTGTTCAGCGACTTTACCGCTCGGCCGCTATAAAATAATATATAAATGGAAGTTTAATTTGATAAATATGAAAGGCATTTAGAGAGTTTCCTGTCTTTCTGTAATGGGTAACACTATAAACATCGGTCTTTTGTTACAAAAATATATTCTCACAATATTAGGGTTTGCGATGCATAGCTTAATCGCAAATATTTTTGAAGCAATATTAAATATTAGTTCTAACTTAGGCGGAAATTTCTACTATGTTTGCAGTTTTCTCGCTCTCCTAATTTTTTTAAATGTATATAATGAAGTATTTATTATTTTTTAATTAATTTTTATAACTGCATCAATAGATGGTGCATTATTTGCAAAGTTTTGACATGATATCACCTTTTAACGAAATGAAGGAAAGTAAAATTATTGTTTATTCTTAAGCTACAAATTTTAAACAAAAGGCTGAAATATCTACGCTAAATTTTATAAGGGTGCCATAAATATTTTTCATTATTCAATAACACCTAATTTTGATAATTACTTCAAAATCGTAAAAAGAGTGGATTATAAAGCAGTGTGTTGAATAAAATTAGTATAATATTAAGAATGGCAACTTTTGCTTAAAATATAGAGTCAAAATATTATTTCCTGACGCACTGCAAAATCTGAAAGTAGCACAGATTATTTTAAACGAACTTTTCAGGATGCAATTTTGGATATAAATTGATCTGAGAAATAAGTACTAATATAAGGTGATTATATAATTCAACAAATAATCTCTATACTGCTTCATAAAATAGATGACTTATGATGGGAGTCTTATAAAACGTTGGTGGTTTAATGTTACAGACGAAGTTTCAGCTTAAGTTTGGAAATTAATATGGAGTTAAAAAAGTTTCGAAAAAAATAGTCTTTCATGAGGAAAGAAATAACTAACAAATTAATATTATGAATAGCCCGAGGAAAGACTTTTTCTGTATATGAATGTAAAAAAACTATTTCACTGTGTATTCAGTACTTATTTCAGTATAAAAAAAAAACCATATGAGTATGTGAATAGCATAGGAGAAAAAATTTTTCAGCATATGAATATATCGATTTCTTTAATCAACTTTCGATTTCTTTAAAAAACATTAACATTTAAGAACTAATCAATAGAAAAATACAAATAAACAAAAAGTAAACATATTTAGTTAAAATAAAAATGCATTTTTTATTCACGAGAAATGCCTTTGACAGGAAATTTTATGTCTGTTATGGAACTTGAAGGGCATCAAGAGAACTTTTGAAATCTGCACTGAGATTGAACTTACTGAGATCTGCAGCTTTCAAAGCTTTATTTATTTTATATGTGAAAAGGTTGGTTCATGTAAAAAAAAAAAAAAAAAAAAAAAAAAAAAAATCTAAAATGAGAAAAGATACATATTTTCTTTACTTTTCAAACGGGAATATCGAATGCTCTTCAGCTGCCTGCCTCCTGTCTAACCTTTTTCATAATTTAAATGATTTATAAAATTTTTTGGATGATTAGTCCAGGAATCACACCTTTTATCGTAAGATCGGTCAAGAGTACGCAGTTTGTTTAGTAATTTGATACAAAATAAATAAATAAATAAAGACATGAAAGAAAAATAAGTTATTTACACCAGTATTTTTTAAAAATAATATTGTAATTATTTGGTAAAAAAATTATATCTTCTATAATGTATATCACATTACTTGATTTTGTTTAAAGTGTATTATATTAATGTTAAGTAAAAACTTCAAATTACCCTCGAATGCCACTTTCAGATATTTTTACAGCAGGTAAGCGAGCAAACAAAAGAGTAACATTTCTAGTCTTCTCTCTTGCAATTAAGCTCTATACATAATTGGTAATAAATGAATATTGTAGAAAAATTAGAAATCTTGTTCGTTAAAATTGCTGAATTTATTTGTTCTTTGATGAGATTTGTTCTTTGATTGGAGAAAGAAAATTAAAAACTCAAATTACGTGTGTGTCGTTGAAAGGGCAAATTCATACATAAGCAAGAAATTCATATGTTTAATTGTAGGCAGTTATGAAACTAGCACTATTTTCGGTATAAAGACCTACATTCATTTAAGTCATAAATGTAAAGGCCCTAAGTCAATCAGATTTTTACGTCTGCTTTCCAAAGATTTGTCAATAAAATTAATATAACGCAAATATTTTTATATACAAATCAGAAAGACCTTACACAAAGATGTAACCAGATATCCATTATCTATACTGTTTAAAATGATTTTAAGCATCATAATATCCTATGCATTTTTGTAAGACTCATTTGATAACACTGTAGTTAGCTAGGTCATTAGTGAAACAATCATAGATGACTCAATACTAAAAAAAGATTCAAGAATTCTGAGAAAATTCAATTACAGATGAGAAAATTCATAATTATCTGATTGCTTTATAATTCTACATTTCCTATGAGCTATAATTTTATAGCAACTCTTAACCATTACACTTAAGAATATATTAATCGCAGAAGCATTTGACATTCGTTTAAAAGAAATTCAAAACAATTTAGAGAAACTACTATCTTCTGCTTTTATATGTATTAGTTTTCAATAACCAGAGGATTTCCCAGAATTTTTGGTCCAACTTAATGGAAAATTAGAGCACAAAATTCAGTTCACATTTTTCGTACCAAAATCTTAGCGCTAAATATCCATAAAAAATAATTCAGTATGAAAAACATTCCCCTTCTATGATGAAACTGAAACATTCGAAATTTATTGCAAAAGTAACGTTCAAGGAGAAAATGATTGTGTCACAGGATCAATGAGACTTCCTAAATATTACTAAAATGCATTATTATAATATGTATTATAATATGTATTATAATAAGGACTATTAAATACGGACACTATACAAAAATGAATAAGGACTATATGTAGTCCTCTTATATACGCATCATCACCACTAAACTTTATATAAAAATTAGCCATGTTGCAATAATAAAATGAAAAGAAAAAAAATTTAAAGCAATCTAGCACTCAAAAAAGCATGTGATTCGAATATATACAAGTATAAATACATAGTATGAATCGCAACCAACATGCTAATTAAGCTTTACATGAATATTAAAAACAACGCATATCCCATATAAAAAACGGTTAACTCCATGAAGTTGTAAACTTATATGCAACATTTTGTTCCTTTTGTTTCATGCAGATGCAATAATGAGCATTGTAGTAGAGTTTGTATGGCTGGAAAAAGAGATAGAGAAGCCTTGTTTCCTCCCTGTGAAGTGAAAGATGAAGAAAATGTTTAACCTTGAGGTAAAGAAATTAGACGAGCAATTAGTAGATTTGTTATTTATTAGTGGTGTACATGGATAAACTGCATTCTACATTTACCTAATAACACACCTCTCATTGATTTAGCTAATTCACAGTATATCTTTGTTTATTATTATGAGCTGTGAAACTAAAACTACAGTTAATTACAGATGAAGAAAAACTATAAGATTTGAAAAATTATTAAAACAAAAAGATAGTTTTGTTTGATTTAAAACGTAAAATACGGAAATTAACATGCCTTTTTTCAAGACACCTTTTTCCAATATTTTAATGCGTAGAAGCACTAAATAGTTTCAATTTATTAAAAAAATATTCTTTCTGGTTACTTTAATTAAAAAATAATCATACAACGAAGCAAACCCGGATTTTAAATTTTAGTTATGATTGATATTCAAAATCATATGTTTCTAAAGCATTTAAAATGATGCATAATAATGTTACATTTTCTTATTCCAAACAGTTTGCTATATAAGTACAAAAAAATTGTACTTGAAACGTTTCAGTCACTGAAAATAACTGATAATAAGTCAATGTAAAATATGTGCAGTTTTTATCCTTGAAAATTATATAAGGGAAATTTGATTAAGTTTTATCTTTAATTAAAAATTTACAAGAAAAATTAGTCGCTTCAAAGTTGCTACGCAACGAATTCCGACAACAAATAATCAGGAAATATAAAATTAATCAAGAAATATTAATTTAACTATCAAGAAATATTAATTTTTATTTCGCTACAGATTTCTGGAGTGCATAAATTAAAATATTCTGAAAATTAAGAAACACGAAAAAAAAAAACATTAAAAATTGTCTTAAGAAGTTGGTCACTGTAAGTTCAATAACTAAATTTTCGAATAAAATGTATATGAAAAATTAAATAATACTTTTAAAGTGCTAATAAGAAAAGTCTAAATCTAAAAATAAATGTAAGCAATCCAATTTAAAGCGACCACTCAAAATTCCATATCTTTTTAATCTTGTGTGGATGTGGTGAAATTGCGTAATGATTAAAACCTATGTTTATTATTCTCAAAAACATTGTTCGTCTTAGGGAGATAGTCACCAAGAAGGTTCACTGCAAATATACATTGTTTCTAAAAAACAAAAACTAAACACACACACACACGAAAAAAAAAAAAAAAAAAAAAAAAAGCTGCGTGAAGATTTTCGTGATTTTCCTGAAGTATAATGTGCATATGAACTAGTTTCTGAGAATGTACTCCACAAAGGAATCCCAGCCCTTGAGCAGATAGCCGTAGTGTGCTTTGGCATAATCTAATAAATCCAAACACTACTGAAATGTTATATAGCTGACTTTCATCATAACTAGCAAATCGACATTAATTTAACTGACTGCATGCTGTGCATGAAAATTTTAATGTCACTTTACGAATAAAGTAAAACAAAACAAGAAATATTTTTTACAATAAGAATATTAGATTAAAACAAAAGTGAAGAATATAATCTCATAATTAAGTTAGCAATTTTCTTATATCTAAGATCATGCAGTTACTTTCCTTTTTCTAATCTTTCTTAGATTATACTTTTCATGAAAAATTACCAGTAAAAACTTTCTAAAAAATGATTTATTAATGATCTTTGTTAGTTAACTATGTGGGTTTAAAATTCTATTATGTGCTATAAGTTGCATTAATTTTCTATGCTTAAGTTTCCTTCTTACTTTACTCAGCAAAAAATTATTAGTTGAATAAAAAATATGGAAGTAAAAATTATTCTTCTTTCCATCTTGCGCTCCACAAATCATTCATGGAGAATACCCATTTACAGTTATTAAAGCCTTGAAAAAAACAGTGTGTCTGCGATGTTATCGTCATGCGATGATTTGTAGATACTTTATTTTTTACCACGATATTTTTGACCGCGATGTTTTTAAACTGCGAAGTTTTTGAACCGCGTTATTTTCGACGACGATATTTTGTACTACGATGTTTTAGAACTGCGATGTTTTCTCTTTGCGAAGTTTTCTCCCACGATGTTTTGTAGCACGACGTTTTCGCCTTGCGTTGTTTTCTCCGCGACGTTTTCGTCCGCGGTGTTTTTGCCGCGATGTTATCGGCGGACACCCTCAAAACATTATCAAAGTTTTAGTCAGTTACATGCGTTTGCATTAAAATATCTTCCAGAAATGCATTTCAGACTCCGCTCACTTATACAATGAAACAGAAACTTGTAGACACTGCATGAGAACTTCTACTAGTTTCTCATGCAGTAGAAGGAAAAAGTTTTGATAAAATGACTGTTGCATTAATGCATGAGATGATAGTCGACGAAAATGTTGTAAAAATAGAACAATATTGTGGTGCAAATTCCAGCACGAACACACCAAATCATTTTAAAGTATGACACAGCTGAAAAATCTTAGATATAAAATTTATCATTTAAAACTTCATGATAGCATTCTCCGGCTGTCTTAGCTGAATATTTAAAATCTTAAGATTTTTTTAATGCATCAAATGCAAGAGAAATTTGAAAAATGCTTAACTGTGTAAAAGGTGTTTCGCAAAGAGTTATCGTTCGGGGGGGGGGAGTAAAAATTAGCAGGAAAAACGAAATTTGTTGGCAATGTAAATTAATAGAACGGCATAAAGCTAAAAAACAATTTCAGGTTGGCGTAAATTTTGAACAAGACTCTATGAATTGAATTATATTCAAAATATAAAATAATTTAAGGTTGCTTTTTAAAATTTGTTTTGTTAAATTTTATATTTTACAATGGCGCGTCTCTCTTCCAAATAAACTAGAGTGGATTATTTAGATTATGGCAAGGCGCGTCTCTCTTCCGAATAATTTGGACTGCATTATTTAGATTAGGGTAAGACAGGTCTCTCTTCGAAAGAAACTGGACTGGAATATTTAGATTATTGCAAGGCACGTCTCTCTTCCAAATAAACTGGACTGGATTATTTAGATTATGGCAAGGCAGGTGTCTCTTCCAAAGAAACTGGACTGGATTATTTAGATTATGGCAAGGCACGTCTCTCTTCCAAATAAACTGGACTGGATTATTTAGATTATGGCAAGGCACGTCTCTCTCCAAGTAAACTGGAATGGATTATTTTGGTTATGGTAAGGCACGTCTCTCTTCCAAATAGACCGGACTGGATTGTTTAGATTATGGCAAGGAACGTCTCCCTTCCAAATAAACTGGACTGGATTGTTTATATTATGGCAAGACACGTCTGTCTTTCAAATAAACTGGAATGGATTATTTAGGTTATGGCAAGGCACATCTCCCTTCCAAATAAACTGGACTGGATTATTTAGATTATGGCAAGGCACGTCTCTCTTTCAAATAAACTGGAATGGATTATTTAGGTTATGGGATGGCTGCTAAGGTCTATTATTTTACCCTTTGCGGCACAGTGTGTCCTGTCTGGACACAAGTAAAAATTTCCTTCTGTACGCACAGAAAAATTTGAATGAAAAAGGATTTATAGGTTACTCTGAACCTTCTTTATTTATAATAGATGGCAGCTCAACACAAATCAGTCCATATATTTTAGCCATGTTTAGTTTTTTAAGACCCTCATTTTTCAAAGAAATCTTCCAGATTTTTTAGGGTATAAAAGGAATATTTTGAAAAGAAATTTCTATATTATTTTTTGGCTGCATGATAATCTCCTTATTCTATATTAGTTTTAAATTTTTACCTTGAAATCATGCCTAAAATCAAACAGTGAACCCTAGGTGTGCCCAGACCTGGCTCACCGATAATCTAGGACAACTGAGAGTCTGTATTCTTTGTTTCTCCGCATCTCATCAGTCAGTCCCTTGATAACAAGGCTCGTTTTAGCACTCTTTTCGAAGAACTATTCAATTAGTGTGCCACTTTGGACACACCAGCATAATTAAAACGATAAGTGCTATCTTCACAAAATTTTACTTGTGTACTCCTCTAGGCCTAATTAGATTGCCTACCTTTTTTTAATGAAAACTGCGACATTGAAGGGTAGCGTGCTGGAAAGGGTTAAGGAAAGAGATGTCTTCATGGAAGATGTTGTTGTTACTAATTTCGCTTGTTTGAATCAGATCAATCGCACGAAACACATAGTGGCAAGAAGTCAAGATTGCTCCTGTCGTTGACAAGAGCCTTGGACATCCTGCAGGTGATAGTACGACTTCGCTCTCTTCCGCCCCCCCAATTTGGATGGAGAGCAACCCGTGAAAGACCGGTCAGGGTGTCTCCCACACCTCTTCTCCTGCCATAAACCTCTCGAGAAAACTTTCGGCTTGCTGCATATTTGCAGTGTCTCTACGCTACAGACACTATACATTTAAAAACTTCCATGTCTTCTCCGGGATTCGAACTCCTGCCCTTCGGCACGGCAGTCAACGTTGCTAACCGCAATCCTGGGTAGGCGGCGGTGGAAGATGCTCTGACGGAAACTGGTTTGCATTCGCGTTAGGCTGCTATCATATATGGGCTTGTTTCGGAAGAACAACTGTTTAGAACAATTTTTCTGCTTTGTCACAACAGCCAATCACCATAGATCGTTTTGGGATTAACACAGGGGAAACTGGCTCCCCATTACAAACAAGCTGATAGCTGATTGGTTGAAAACGAACAACTTGCAATTTTTTTGGAAAGGAAAAAAGTCGCCCGTCTTTCTTTCAATAGTAAACCAGGCAGGAATATTGTCCGAAACAGTTGTTCGTGTGAAACAAACGTTGTGTGATATGGGCCTTATGGAAAAAACGCTATCCAATTAGAATAGAATAGGGTTCTGCGAATAGCGTAACTCAGTTCACCGATTCATCTAGGGGTTATGAAAAAGGACCTGGAATATATATAGTAATTTGGTTTAAAATATCTATTTCATTTTTAATCTGAGTTAACAAGGTATTTGGAATACTTACGGAAACAAAGTTCGCACTCTATTTCTGCATACGCAACTTTGTTTAAATAGACGAAAAATGAACACATAAAAAAACTTAAAAAAGAAAATGCAACCCA